TTATGTGTACTATGGATGCGGGCACAATCTGCAAAACGCAGACCGGACGGTTCAAATTGCCATCCAGGAAAGTGTGCTCGCTTGTCACACCGATGCACATACGCAGCATGTCTTGTGGTCATGAGCTAAGTGAAAAGAAATTAGAGGCCAAAACTGGTGCCTCGGCACATTGCCAATTGCGTCCACGTATGTGACCTCGACTCCCTGTTTGTCGACAGCGACAATTTGGACCAACATTCTGTCACAGAGTACATTTTGTGACAATCGCATACTCAGAAGACAGCGCGCATGCTCGACGATGCGACGCAGTGTGGGTCTGCTCGGAACGGTAATGTGTGACGTATTTATAGACATTTACGAAGAAGGCAATGCCATATCGTCACACTATGCTGGACATACTTTGTGTGGATACAAAAACGCCACTTTGTACCGAATTTAGTCTCAACGTGATTGTACTTCAAAGCCCAAAGTGGGAATGCATTGCAGCTACATAGTCGTGCTACAAGCGTCACTAGTAGCTTCTCATCGAGTTATACGATAGTTTCTTAATTGCTGGATGCGTCGTGCTGTGAACTTGCCAAGCTCTAGCTCAAACGATCTCCTCTTCACTTGCATCGAAAATATGGTGGTATCAAACTAGTTGAGCCAAAGCGAGGGTACCGCTTTTTTTAGTAAACCACAATGGATGCGTTTACGCGTGCATGGATCATGCAATTGATATCAATCGACATAAAATCGTTGAAAATACTGATCGTACTCCAGATCTATCGAGACCAAACAGAAGCTTTTCCTGAGCTTTAATCAAATCTTTAGTACGAGGACCGAAGCTTGGTCGTCTCGGGAAATTTGATGCTCATGCTTCGGTATATCATTACTTTGCCTGCTACTACATTGAAGTTATTTCTGCTTGTGAATGACTGACTTACAAGTCAGCATCAAGCGGGACTTGTAAATGCAGTACGAGGGTTTTATCGGTAAAGTCGTTACCATCAATGAGCTACAATCTAGGCGCTCGTCTGATCGATATCTTTGCAGAAAAACTAACATTAGTTCACAAGCATCTGTCCCTTACCATAAAAATGACTATCTGCTAGTTATCGCGAAATTAAAGCACGCGTATTGTTGCCCAAATTGAATATGAGCCGCGCTGCAATGAGAACTGTTTGCAGTAAACATTGTCTTGGTTAATGCAGTAAGCATTGTCTTGGTTAGTTTACACGAGGGATTCTCGGGTAAAGCGTATATCAGATAAATAGTGCTCGGTGATTTGTGTACGATGTACTTGGGTGCGGCAGATGATGCGACCTCGGACCCTTTGCGGCTATTTACAAATATCGTCTCACGTAGCTTTAGTAGATTTCAGCAATGAACCTTTCTGATGCAAGATAGCTCATTTGAGAAAATCTAGTCATGTAGTATGCAAAGCGAAGGGATCGCGTGAGAAAAAGGGGAAGCGGGATAGCGATCTGCTGAACCACTAACACATGCTGTGGGTGCCAACTACAGCAACTGACTACATGAGCTTGTGATAAAAAAAGCAGCTACCTTTTGGGTCCCTTTGTCAAACAATCAACTGAACAATCACGTGTAATGATCTCCTACCTCTTGCATACGTACATTCAAATGATACATATAGTTGCGTGCGGCTTATACACCACTTTCGACAGCTGTACGCCATGTGCTACTTGATTCATCACAACGGAAATGATGTCACTTAATAGGAGAATGGCGTACATCGTCACTTGTATTGTTAAACTTAGCAAAGATTTTAGGTTCGCCATGCTTTTGGATGCGTGAATTTACCTCGTATAGCAAACCTACGTGAGCTCCAATTATTGAGTAAGGCAGTGACTTAAGCATCACGCTATGGCTAATGCGTTAATGTACTTGTGAGGCACAGAAATGCGATAGCGTCGAGAATGCGGGCAACTTGGTTTGTCAGTATATGCCTCCGAAACATTACGATGTATTTCTGGTGATGCGAATCCTGGCGACTACCGCTGAACTTGAGGGCACGATCATAGAATCTAAGTAGTACAATCGAAAGCCGTGTGACTGTTTAGTGGTCCGAGTGTATGGTCAGGGATAATTGTCAATCGAAGATGCCACTGTCGACATTGAAACACCGTCTGTATCAATGCATTGAATCTGCAAAAGCTTCGACAACACAGCTTCTCTGTTCAGCCCTGGTGTTGCTAAACGAACTCCATACTGTTTGATGTTCTGATCGACTGAATAGATTGACGTGGTTGGCCTGCAAGTATCGCTGTCTCCTAAGCACACCTCAGCACGCTTACTCGTTGTACGTCAAATGCATAGAGTACGGATCCGACTTGAATGACGTAACGGCTAGCAAAGTATTCCAATGTGCCTCACCTTGTCATCATCATCACCAACTCGGACAACGTATAATCGTCAAAGAATAGTCCCAAACTGGTTAAACTGACCACTGGGACAGATTTGACATGATTTGTTTTCCGTTCGACTGGCAGCGACTTCGACGGTATTCGATCGCTCCTACTTTGCAACTGAGATAACCGGCGCTTGTACCGAGACACAACCGATTGTGCCAGTCATTGATGTCGGACGGTCACGATCATTGGATGCAGGGAGACGCTAAACCGCCGGATGGACAGACTATTCAGTCGGTTTCGATGAACGATACGGAGGTTTTGGCCAATCAAATTCCTGTTCTGAGCTTTTGGCCAATATAAATCTTTCCGGCAGAATAGTCTGCCGCATCCGGTGGTTTAGCGTCTCACTTCGATGCACCTTTTGTTTGGTATCTGATTTAGCTGATACAAAAGATGTAGTAACAAAAGCGGCGAAGTTGTCTGATGGCAGCGACTCGTGTCGCACAACATCAGCGATCTCTTTGGTTTAGACTGCTACAAGTAAACGTAACGATTACTCAGCAAATTATGTCCGCATTTTGGAGCTGGATGGCAGGGCCGAGACGATCGTGGCCAGTAAATTTAACAGAAAAGGCCTGATTTTGCGACCAGATTCTACGCGGCACAGCACACGTTCGCCAGTGAGGGACGATACAGATAATCCTCACGGCTTGGGACCTCGAACCTTACGCCGCTCCTTAACACTTGACGCAAATGGCGCCAAAGAACCACGGCTGTTGCCCTCTTGAGGCTGCTCGTATGCACAAAGGAAATACCAAGCAAGTCTGATGTATCAATTGTTTGTTATCGTAGGCAGCGAATTTGCGACCTCAACAATACAACGAGATCGTCATGCTGTACCTGACACTGTATCATGGACCGATTGAGGTGTAGCAATGGTTTTCGATACGTCTGTCCATACCTTGAAATAAACAAGGCAGACGCGAGTGCTATCCACTCGTCCGTCCTGACACGTGTACGGGTATGTGTACCATCTGTAAAAACCATGTGAGACTATGTGTACAGTATGCTGGGCGTAGGTGGCAAGAGAGTGCAGACGAGTTATACTTGATACATGTGACTGATCGGTGTGCCGTCTGCAGTGTCGAACGTACGTACGTCAACGCTTTGTCCAACTCACAAGCACACCACGCAATTTGTACACAAACCTAGTAATATTTATGCCATTTGCCGTAGTTGAGCAGCACAAAGTCATACGGCAAAAGACACTAGCCTCTGTCTGGTTTAGGCCAGTGTTAAGGTCGTTTTTCCGGTATGACCTACCACGTTCGAAGTGTGCTCGTCACAGCGTAGTGTCTATGCCCGTGTCCTTTTTGTCAAACCGAACTCGTCGACGCAGAGGCATCATCAATCTAAAGTATCAGCTCTTTTGTTGGTCGTCCCACTTGACGGGCTCACTCTTGCATTCCACGTAGCGATTTTAATCAAAGATTGGGAATCGACTAATTACGGCAAGTGCCCACGAGTAAAAGGAGCCGGCGGTCGGCACAGCCTCAGTAGTGTCCTCAAGTGCAGCTCGATTGCTAATCGGGGTGTGAAACATCGTAGGGAGAAAGACTCACCTCCGACGTGCGCTAGCAAATCCCTAGGACCCTAGAGCGAAACAAGGCCAAATACCGGGGTCAGCCTTTACTGCACGACAGACCATTGCACTGCATGCCCGAAGCAGCAGCACGTGTAAGCAACCACTGTACATTCGGCTTTTTCTCTCACCTGGTCGGCTGGCTTTTCCATCGGCGAGAAGACGAGTCCTGCTGCTGGAAGTCACCGACTTTGCTCGTACTTTGATTCCTCATTGGAAAACTCTCAAGTGCGTCACGTCACTTGGCTATCCAAGCTGAACGCTTGCACTATCTACATTTTATCAGAGCTGCGAGAACACTGGAGCATCGATGGACCGTCGGGAATGCTGCGATGCTACTTTGGGTAATAAAGGCAAGCAGAAGCAAGGAACAGCGACATTCAAGGCTGATTACAAGTCCAGAGCAAGACAAGAGATCAATGCGGCAACTTCGTTGGCTGAGGGAAATTGGTGCGCTGTTAAAAACGGCGAACATGAGTGCAAGGAGGAAGGGAGCAGGTTCATAGCTCAGACACAAACTATCTCCTCGCGGCCAAACTCTAATGTCTGCAGCACTAGGCTTAAGGTGAGACGCACGAGCAGCTGCACAAATGCGATGCAGAACGACGGCAGCTTCAACAAGTCGTCTCTCAATTTCATCCTGGACGACTATGCAGCCTCGCCGGTAGTCGGTAAGGTTTTGTTCGCCTGTGCCGATTCTTCGTCAGTGTCTACAGACCGCTCATTTCTAGGTAGTGGAAGATTGACGCGTGATTGTACACGAGCTGCGCCATCGATCGCCAGAAGCATGAGCACGGGAGATCTTAATGACGACACGAGGGTTGATATCGCTTCGAGCACAAACGCTGGTTTGGCTACAACAGCACAATGCGGCCGCTCTGATCAAGCGAGTGGCCAACAAATAGATACTGGAGGAAAACGCCGAGCCCGAAGACCACCAAGTCGCATCTGCAAGCACGAGGGTTGTGAGCAGTATGTGGTGGACCAGGGTCTCTGTGTTCGACATGGTGTGCGTGAGCGACTATCTCGTTTTGTAGCTGCCAGCGGTGCTTCTGTGCAGTATAGTCAGGAGCGACCGAGCTAACTATATGTTCACTGCAAATGAACAGGGGGGCAAGCGCTGCCAAACAGCAGGATGCACCAGTCGGGCGAAGCATCAAGGACGCTGCTGGAAGCATGGTATGCTAATTCTTGCGTTGTGTATATAGTGTGTGCTGTATCATTATTGTTTGCTTTGCGATTCCAGGAGGATCGACCGAGTGCAAAGTGCCGAGCTGCATCAATCGAGCCAAGTCACGCGGATTCTGCTGGTCGCACGGTGGCGGAACAAAGTGCAGGACTAAGAATTGCGAGAAAATTGCCATTTCCAATGCCCTGTGCTGGGCTCACGGAGGAGGTACAAGTGCCGTTCTTCTGTAACTAGTTACATGGTCTTAACTGTTGTTGGAACGTTTGTCTCGTTTACCTCAGGCAAGCGGTGCGTGGTGGAAGATTGCATGCGCCAGGCGTACGAGCGCACCAATAACCTGTGTACCAACCACTACCAGGAGCAGCAGCGCAGTGTAGCGGGAGGGAGAGCAGACACGGTTGTGGATAGGTCGCAGTCATCTCGGGACGACTAGGACAAGCCGACGACACTGTCAATGGGCTGGCATGGGTTGACAAATGTCTGGACACCGCAGTGGACTACAAGTGAGAAATACGATATTAATCCGCAAAGCTTGGTGAAGGATGCGTCGACCTTTTCGAAGATCACGACTGAATTCGACCGTCGCGTCTGCAGAGCAACGCCAAAAAGCCGGTCTGACTGATGAGCAACAAGAGTATCTCGCCGTTCCGACCTTCCTGGATGACGGCAGCACGCACACAGTTTATGTCCGTATTTGCATCGTTCGTTATCGTCTCCAATGTCTTGACAGTTTGCTTTGGTAGAAAGTCCAGCGTAGCCGCCAGGTGGTCTTTGTGAACGTGCCATTTAATCATGCGGTACGACCCCCACCCCCAGAGCGCAACTCTCTCAAAATTCCGGTGTGTAGACTACACAGAGTATGTCAATTGTGACATTTTCACCAGTGACCGCTGGGTAAAGCCGTTTTTACGTTAAAACCACAAGCCGCAGTTTGTACTAGAAGTCGTGTCGGATACGTGTAGTCGTGGCGGTAGACTGCATCCCCTTTGGACGCGAACTGTCTTTGTGTCGCTTTCAAGTACGATGCAGCTGTAGATGTAGTCGTACAAGCTCTTGAATAGATTACGCAGCCTCACCGAGCAAATTTGTCAACGCAAGTTGTAGGGGAGTAAAAAAAACATGATTTGGTAGTCATGCTGAAGGCCGGGAAAACGAGGCACAAAGTGATGAATACAACATCGGCGGGCGTAACACAAAATGAAGTTTGTAAAGTTTTGCAGCTCCAATTACTTAGCTGATAGTCATAAAAGAAGTAGAAAATGCTTCTGCACGGTAGTGAAGGGGTACATTGAGGTTTTGCGTATCTTAACGATTTATATTTTTATGTCTTAACGAATGCTATTGGTGTAGGAACATTTCCATAGTGGCAAAAAGAAAGGAGTTGCGACGGCTTTAAGCCATCGAGGAAGGACAGTTTGTAAAAATTGCTAAATATAAAGTTTCAAGCATTTCCCCGCTTTTTTTGTGATGGATCTACCGATTAAAATTGTCTTTATAGTGTCTTGCCATTGATAATAATGGAGGTCCCGCTCCTTTGTCATTACTTACACGAAACCATACATATTATAAGGAACGAGAGCGGCTCATGTTAAGCCCAAGAAGGTGTAGGTGCACAAATGGGTCAGCAAAAATCGTATATCTAGTTGCTGAACATTTTGGCACACTTTCGCAGCTGCGACCTATCGCTTCTTCTAGCATGAAGATTCATCTAGCTGATTACAAAATCTAGAGTAATCGAGGCAAGTGCTAAACGGCTGAATTCATTTTTATCCGGCTGGGTCACTTTGATAATCCTCCGGAGTAACTTAAAAGTATTCCAGAAGCACGCCTAGCTTTGTCGATCCCATCTACTCAATTTACTAACACCATTACTCACGTATCCATTCAAAGTATAAAATGACGAAAAGAGTGCAAAACAGGCGAATACCCTATTCCAGTCGTTTCTTTTGCTGTTAGCGTTCCAATCCAAAAATATGTCGCTATTTGAAGCCATCATAGCTGCACAGTCAATAGGTCCACCAAACATGATGCGTCCGCGCGGTCACGAACGCTTAAGGTGGGGCAATATGTCTCGCCTGGATGTACTGTTAGTGGCGTTCTCTTACATACTCTTTACTACAATTTTCACAAAAAATATACACCGTTTCAATTGCGGCAGTTGTCTGCAAGCAGCCCTTTAGCATAGTAAAATTGGACGCGGATGTTGTGGTCGTAGTTGAGTCGTACAAATACCAACCAAGGCATCCTACCTCTTTATCTTTTAAGTTCATCCAAGCTGATTTCTGCAGCCGAAGCTAAACGTAGCTACCAAATCAACAGGGTCGAAGTCGTTAGCCGCTGTTTTAATTGCCATGTCATGCCTCTTAAAGCATGCTCGTAACCAGTGAGAAGCGATTGACCAACACTACGGACACTGCAATTTGTAATAGTCGTATTTTGTAGCTGGAACGCGATCGCTATCATGAGAAGTGCCATTGGCGGAGCGATCACCGAAAGTCAGTTTTTGATTTTTTTGGTGAGTTGACGATATTCAACTACATGCATTTTAAAGGACGACTTTTACCCTGGACTTAAAAGAACGACCCAGCCGACTAAAAACGAATCCAGCCGTTTAGCATTCGTCGTAATCAATATAAAAGGACCAAGCACCGCAGGAATACAATTTCCGATTGGTTCCAAGCGGAATATCCATCCAACTGCGACTTAAGTGTTGCATGTGCTCTATGCAGAGACAACACCGCCACGTAATAAGGTAGGACTGGATGTTTAATTGTGGAGGATATATCCTTCTTCCATAAATTGTCATTAATTTACCAGTTTTATTTGATGGCTGGTTTTTACAAATGTTTTTGCACAAGGTGCACAAATACAAAAAAGCACAAGGATTGATACGATGGTGTTAAAATGTGGTACTTACAAAAATCAAATATCTGAAGCAGCTACTGACACTTTGTTGCATCATTAGCGAAGCCATTTTAGGCATCCCAAGCTCACATGAATCTCAATCAATTCCCGCTGATGCATCATAAGAGAAGAGGGTGACACGTGGACTACGGAAAAGGTCTGGTATCTAAGCTATAATCTGTTGCACTCGCGCAAGGTGCATAATCTATCCTGTTACGTAAGCGCGTCAATCACTGAATGTTTAAAACCTTGCATCCAGAAGTTGTAGTTCCAGAGCTTGACATGTGCCTTATCGCTGCGTCTGGAAACGTGGCGCTGCCGCATTCCACGCAAGTCCACGAACTCTTTCAAGTACTAACCCTCTTATCGACACGAAATAAGTAATGGCTTCTACAGTTCGACCGCCAAGCCATGTAAACTCGCCGTTATTTTAAACGTTCCATACTATCTCTGCACACTATCAAACGCCAAGCATATGCGACTGACATGTCGATACTCGGGAATAAGTACGACGGCTTGCTTGTCGACACAACACATTACCTGTACGACAAGAAAAACTTGGATATGTGCCAACTCAATCGTTATTGCTAACTTGTATATGTGCCAACTCAATCGTTATTGCTAACTTGTATTCACCTGCTCGCCCCGTCATGTCATGACCTCTCCTAGCAGCATGATGCATTCTCTGCTTGTTATACAACTGCAACTCATGTGTCAAGAGATGCTGGTGCTCTTCCCTATTGTCCACGGAAAAGCTAAGAACATAGAGTGGTCCTGACTTAGAGCTACAAGAACCATCACGACCTCCCACAAAAAGATTCAAAATTAGGGTCAGCGTCCTCAATTTTATCTCCTATCGATAAATTATCCACAGGTACAGCCACAGCTCCAGGTACAGACCGTCTAATATCCTCGCTTCCATCTCGATGAGATGTAACTCCTCTCCATTTTCACTATGGTAATACACTGCTCCACCCAAGTCATCATCTATGACCGTCTGTGCTATTTTCTATTCGAGACACAACAATTACTTGCGCCCACAAGTTCGACATACGCGAGTTACGTGCCGACTCCTACTTTCACGATCTGCATCGCCAGTAATGACTCGATCCATACAGTACAATGTGCCTTCTGTCAGTGCGGTAAGCCCAATATCCTTGTCGCGCGATGTGATACAAGGGTGCTAAGCGAAAATTACAGTTCAAGTTATAGATGACGTAACGAACTCAGACTTGCGCAAGACTCGACAAGTGCGTCTGCATCTCACCTGTACAATTTTCGGCATCAGAGGGTCACGTCACGCGTTTACGCTCTAAAATGTCTTCCCCTTTGCAAAATAAAGGTTAGCTATCGATTTGGTCATACACATCCGCAGCCATCGATGTGCCGATCGATTAAATTTTACTGTTTTGATTACTTTGATAACGACGTTACCATTTAAAACTTTATAAGTAGTCAAAGACCAGCCATTACCGAGTTCTGGTAACTCTGCAGACCTGCTCCACCATTCTTTCCTACCAGGGGATGAAGCGAACAACACTTTAGCCGTAGGTAGTACGGCCTGATATCTTTCGCTCGCAATCGAGTTTGTACTGCCTACACATACAGCTTATCGATGAATGGTCGTCGTTTTGTACACTGGATGGTGTAATTACTCACTGACAGGAAGCAACTGCTTCTGATCACATGTAATGTCTGCAGTACCTGCTGTTTTGAACACATGTGTATTGCACCTTAAAAGCTCTGTAAATGTGTGCATCATTATAATGCAAAAAGCTAAAAACAGTGTTTGTACGTGAACAAAAAAAGCCTAATTCGGGCTGTGGTGGGCTTGTACGCCAAAACAGTGGAAATTGATCAGAATGACATTTATACGACAGGAGGGGAAGCTCATCGGGGGAGCAAATGAAAAAAAATTATGCGCAAAAACAAGCAGAATTCAAAAGAATGCTACAAGATTAAGAAGTACAATCATGCAAGAGAATCTCACTACACGTTTGAGCATAATTGAAAAAAAGTATCGAGGCTGTTGACTATCCGTACCAAGTTACGCATATTTGGAATTCCGTACGCAATTTTGTTGTAGCATTCTCACTTTTGCTGTTGCTTGGTCGGGCAGAACCACTTCTCTAGTCGACATTCTTGTCGCAAAAGGAGTAGAGTGCGTTGACAATTCGAGCGTAGCCCTGCAACGTTGTCTACCTTTGTTAGTAAGGCTACGCTGCGTCTATCTCTTCTATCTAGTGCCAACTAGTCCGACTTGCGATCCAGGGATAGCTATGCCCTGTAGTTAACGTACAGTTTTTGCACTGACGAGACAACGCAATGTC